TATTAAAAATAGTGCATTTTTGCAATTATCAAAAATTTTAAAAATATTTAGGGTTTTTTTTTGGCTGCTTATTCTCTTCGACACTCCCTCTCTCTATCTTTGGTTTTTTCAACAGAACCCTCTCTCTCATAGAGTATCTATATTCATATCTGTTTTTTACCCTCTGTCTATGGTTCTCTGTTTTTCTAGTCGTTAATTATCTTTTGCATTTGATTTTCTAATTGTAATATGTTAAAACCTATCGCCTACTTCCCCACTTAACCTATCACCTACTTCCCCACTTAAACCTACACCACTAAACCTAACTCACTACACCACTACCACCTCACCTACTCCACTAAACCTAACCCACTACACCACTACCACCTCCACTTCACCTACTCCTTACCTACTACACACTCACCCTCTTCTATATATAGGAATCATGAATCATTGTAATAGATATCAATACAATATCAATACAACAATCAATAATACAATTCTCTTTATACATTGAATTTCAACATGGTATCAGAGCAGGTTTAGAAGCTAGTATTTTCGCTTCCCCGGCGGGCGGCAACCTCGCCTTGGCCGCCCGCCGGACCTCTACACATACCTTCACTCCGCTGCCACAAATTATTCTTCTTGATCTTGATCTTCTTGTTGTTGCTGCTAGTTCAAGCTCTCAGCCTTGAACCTCAAACACATGTATCCCAATATCTGCTCCTTCAGATGGTGTCTTTCCTGGACTTGCATCTGCATCACAGCAGAATTTTAACCAGTCCTTGGCACAAGTCCCGTCAATTGGGCAGCAGCAAATATCACCACTTCAATCGCCACAAGACTTGCCATCTTCCCTGCAGCTACACTCTCAGACTCCCATCGTCTTACTCGCAGACGCAGCCTTCACAGGCATCACTCCAACAACTTGGTCAGCTGCAAATGCCTCAGTCTGGTGGTTAAAACCCCTTCAGTTAGTCGTTGCCATCCCCATAGGTATGGAAAGAGCTACGAGACTCCCGAAGAAATGAAGCTACGATTCTCGATTTTCTCGGAGAACTTGAAGCTCATCAAATCGCACAACAAAAAGAAACTTTCCTACACTCTTAGTGTCAATCATTTTTCCGATTGGACCTGGGAAGAGTTCCGCAAACATAGGTTGGGAGCTGCTCAAAACTGTTCTGCCACCACAAGGGGAAATCACAAGCTCACTGATGAAGTTCTTCCTAATTCGAAAGACTGGAGAGTGACAGGAATAGTCAGCCCAGTCAAAGATCAAGGCCACTGCGGATCATGCTGGACTTTCAGCACCACAGGGGCTCTGGAGGCAGCTTACAAGCAGGCATTTGGAAGGGCGATCTCTCTATCAGAACAGCAGCTTGTGGTTTGTGCAGGAGCTTTTAATACCTTTGGCTGCAATGGTGGGTTGCCATCCCAAGCCTATGAGTATATCACATACAACGGGGGTCTTGACACGGAGGAAGCATACCCTTACACTGCAAAAGACGGTGCTTGCAAATTTTCTTCTGAAAATGTTGGTGTCCAAGTTCTTGACTCTGTCAACATTACCCTGGGTGCTGAAGATGAACTAAAGCATGCTGTTGCATTTGTCCGGCCAGTGAGTGTGGCATTTCAGGTGGTGGATGGCTTCCGAATCTATCTCTCTCTCTCTCATATTTCCACTTTCAACCCCACAATCTTTTTTTTTTAATCAACCCACTATCTCTCTCTCTGGTCCCTTTTTCTCTCTCTCTACTCAAGGATCCACCACTTTGTCAACTTTCCAACCCCTTCCTTCACCTTTTGCACTCCACTCACCATTTATCTACCGATTCAGGGGACAAAGCATATATATCTTTTATTATTATAATATATTACCCACACTATTATCCTTCACTCACCCTATATCTACTGATTCATCAATATATATATATATATATAATGATTTTTCACAAACCTTTATTTTATTTTTATTTTTATTTTTTCTATCTTTCTTTTTCAATATTTCAATATTCTACAACTCAGTTGGTGAGCATCATCCTTTTTCCATTCTCTTATTATTTTATTTTATTTTTATTCCAATACCCAAAAATAAAAAACTAAAAAAAAACAATCCATTCACAACCAACTCTTTTCATTCCACAACTTGTCATTTCTTCATGCCGGGATCAACCCCGATCATCATTTTTGTTAAAACCTATCACCTACTTCACCCACTTAAACCTACTCCCTAAACCTAACCCACTCATTCCACTACCACCTCACCTTACTCCACTAAAACCCTAACGGGAGGGCTACACCACTACACCTGGGTCCACTTCACCGTACTCCTACACCTACTACACTTCAACCCTCTCCTATATGAGATGACCACTCACTCATTTGTAAATATTAATCAGATATCAAGAAATCAATCAAAGTAATAGCGGAGTAGAGAGTGGTGTTAGGCGAGTGGTATCTCAATTGAGCAAGGTTAAAGATCTTGGTGTTCTTCCGCCTGTCCGGCGGGTCGGCAACCTTTGCCTTGACGCTCCGCCGGAGGTGTCTTCACCTTCTTGAGAGTTACTGGGAGTTGGCTGACGGTCCATGACATTATTGCATTTTGGGTTTGGAGTTCCAAATCTTGCAGGATCTTTGGCTAGATCAGCATAAGAATTTTTGGTTGAGTAACGCTTTCTATTACTACAATGTTAACATGGTGAAGTTCCTCCCAAGCTATGCTTTTGCTGCCTGTTTCATTTTTGTTTTGTGTTAACGGTTACTTGTCGCAATTAGTGACCGCAGCTGGCTGCATATACTGTTTGCTTCAGCCGCTAGCCGATCACAGAAGGTGTAACCTGTTACCACCTATCTCATTACTTTACTTCTTTGCCTGGATTTGGGATCAATGGCAGGTTGAGAGATCAGCTGAGAACAAGAGTCGGGGGAGATCTGAGATATACTTATCTGGCAGGAACTTTACTTGTGCGCCGTCACCGGTTCCGCAATCTCCCGGACGAGTTCGGGGAAGACTGCCACAATTTGATCGCCTACTGACGAGTTCTTGGGCTCACGAGGCGACTAGCAAGAATGCTTTTGGTTAATTGCTTCGTGAAACTGCGCGTACTTGGTTCTTGGCTGCAGGGGAGCGAGGAACATTTTTAGCCGGAAGTTTCGATCTCAGGATTATCCGTGCTCGTCCGTCTACTGCTTAGACAGCTGTTTTTATTTTGGCAAAGGTTCTTTTCCATTCTAAAATATTTTCCAGTCCAACAACCACCATCGAACATACCACCATTTGGCCCAACTTTCTCTCGTCTAAAGACCACCCACTTCACCTTTTTCGAAATCTCTCAAGCAATTTTCTTTTTTTTTTAATTTTAAATCACCCGGACGCCGGCGAGACTTCTTTCATACAGAGGCCTTGCAGCCGATTGGTCTCTTTTATATCTAATATATATATATACTATCTAAATTTCATTTTATCATCCACATCCTCCCCCCACAGAATATTTCTCGTCATTTCTCTAATTTGTATTGTATTGCTTATTTTTTATTCAAAGAAAAAAAAAAAAAAAAAAAAAAAAAAAAAAAGAACAAGCAAGGAGGAGAAGAAAGAACTGCTACCCACACGCATGTTATATTCATGCCGGGAAATCGGAGGACCCGATCACAAAAATTTTACATCACAAAAACAAAAAAAAAAAAAAAAAAAAAAAAAAAACAACAACAACAACCCAAACAAAACCAACAAAAAGCCACATCCACAGGTGGGATTTTTCTTCTCTATCTCTGCCGAGCGGGTCTCTTCTTCTTGCTCCCGTCTGGGCGTTGTTGGGGCCCTTGCCAGTGTTGCGGGGTCAGTACGTGCTTGTCCACTGGGCATGAGCGACTACTCCCTGCTCCCTCCACTGCAAGCATATGTTGTGGACTCCAAATGGGGCGATACATCACGGTGGCCTTCGGCTTCAGCTTCCTTGTTTTCTGCCCTATAGACACGCCTTTTATTACTCTGCTCAGGACTATGCCTTCTTATACATGCGTTGGGAGCAGGAGCAGTTGTGGGCGTTTTAAGTTGCTGCAGGTTCCTCATTTGTCCTACTGCTGCACGGGCGCGCAACAGTTGGGTGTGACCGGCCGTCATGGACTCGCTCAACACATAGGCCTTCCAAAGAAAGTTATATGATTAGCTCACACAGTCCGTATTATGGCACTGCCATTGTTTTGCTCCATATGCCGACCGGGACGATCGAAAGTTCAAGCGGAGCAACACTTTGGTCCGGGCGGGGCCCCAAAAAACTTCGGTGTTGGGAGGCTTCCAGTGCCATCTTGGTCCAGTTCTCTCTCTTGTTGATCCGTGACGTGGGTGCGAGGTCGGGAAAGATGGGTGGAGCAGCAGTCCAAGGGAAGCGATGATAGCATTTCTTCTAGGTCACCAGACTCGTTCACAGTATCTCCTCTCAGATCTCTCCAAAGTTAATCTCTCGCAGAGTTTTTTTTTTTTTTATGCCTCAGCCTCTGTCTGTTATAGGGACGAGGCATGCTTGAGCGTGGGATCGCGCGCCACTTGCGGACAGCGCGACAAACGGGTCGGGCGGCAGATTAGCACAAGGTCGCTCTACTCCGTTGCCTCGCCATCAATGTCCGGCACGCCTCGTTATTGATGAAGTGGGGGCGCGCTTCTGAGGGCGCACCTTTTGATGGAGAGCCTTTTTGGGACAGATTGGGGCACACCTTTTGAGGAGTGGCGACTTTGTTAAGGGTCCGACAATACTCTGTAAACTGTCCCACAGTTAGATTCGGCGTTTAGGTTTTCAACAAGCGTGGTCCCGACAGACTTCTCGTAACTGTCGCCGACATGTTCGAGATGTCGGTCTAGGCTCCTTAGGGTCCGAGCAAGACTCTGTAAACTTGTTCCAACATAGATTCCGGTTAGTTTCTACAAGGGTCCGGACAACGACTGGGGCTGTAACTGCTCACGAATTGATTCCCGGTTAAGCTCCTTCATGGTACGACAAGACGTCCGGTAACCTGTCCGCACGATTTGATCCGGTTCGCTTTTCCAAGGGTTGCGGGACAAGACTCTGTAAACTGTCCCGACATTGAATCGCGGTTGAGGTTTCTAGGCAAAGGGTCCAGCAAGTTACCTTCCGTAAACTGTCACATTTATTGTTGTTTTTTTTTTTAGGAGTGGGTTTACAACTGTCGACATACATGTCCGGTTCGCTACACTTACGGTCCCGACAATGACCTCCATAAAACTGTCTTCTACGGGGAGATCGGTCTGACACCGGTTTTGGCGGCGCGCGTGGTCTATTTGCCATTCGTGGCAGTGTCCTCTAGCGAAACATTATAAGTGTGGCCTGGCTGGGGGAACGGATCTTTGGCGCAGTGTCACTCGTTGTATGTCGTGAAAGATAATAGCGGGGTTATGACCACCAGTTACGACCGCGAGGTCGGGGTTATCACAGTGTCCTCGTAGCGTTAGCTGAATTATTTGAACGAAACGTTAATGGACAGGCGTCTGGTT